AAGTATAACTAGTAGGCGTAGTCCCTCTCTCAAAGAGACACCTCGCTCGAGCAAATAAAAATTCTGTATTTAACTTTAAATACTTACTCTACGTAATCATTGCCCCAGCCTAAAACAAACTACACGTACCTTTAAAAATGTAATTCATAACAGGACAAGCATTTCTTTTTGTGCTCTATCCTGGGGTGTAAAAAATAAAAGCCTGGGCTTTTAACCTGTCTCTTTCCTCTGTCTGCCTTCGGCAGTAGAGATACCCACCGACCAAGAGGACATGGAGGAACACAGGGACATGTAACCATATCTTGCTTTAGTGTATAAAAAAGGCAATGGCAGAGTCATAAAGAAATGTGGCTGGAGGTGATCAACCAAGGCCACGTCCAATCCACCCCCTACCTGCAGCAGGATCAGCCCTGTCCAAAACAGCCCAGATAAACCCATCATCTAAACTCTACATAAGACAACCCTCAACCCTGATGCAGCACAGACATCACAACCGACCCTGCCACAAGGAAAGCTGGGGGGGCTGTGGCAGCCAGCGTCCTGCCTCTATAAAGTTGTCAATATAATCGTAAAGGGACTTGTAACTGTCCCTTTTTTCTGTGTATAAGCTGGCAAAAGAGATCCTAATCCTAGACGGTCTTGTCAGAGTTGGGAAATGCACTGTCACTGTGCAATAGGGGTCGGGTGTTTTATTCTACTGGGTGCAAGCATGGTAGTACCAGGACTCTGTGATGGAGAGATAGAGAGAAAGCGACAGAACGATACTGGTGGCAGGATGATGTGCGAGAAGCCACAGATGTGTTAACATAGGAGACAAGGTGGGTGAACACCAGGAAGGCAATGGGGGAGGCCCTGCTGCCAAGGAGGTTGGTTCCCGGAGGTCTAGGGAGACCCACCAAGAATGAACAAATGAAGTAAGTAGGTTTTGGGTACTGGGAAAGACCGGATCAGCTTGTGTGGATGCATGGGCTGGTTCTGAGCAGCGTCTAGAGCTGGGAAGCAAGGGCTGCAGTAAGAAAAGTTGGGGGACAAAACAGAGGCAGGGGAAATGGGCTCACACACGCACCTTGATGGCCAGCTCGGTGCGGCCGCACTCGTAGGCACGACCAGCGATCTCCGAGTATGAGATGCCGGGGGTGTCTCCCAGCTTCTGGTTGATGGCCTGGGCCACCTCCTCGTCCGACTTGTCCTTCTGCTGCACCTGGCGGGGACGGATGGGACGTGAGTGCCCGGCTCCCGTAACACAGAGCTCCCAGAGCCACCTGCCCTGAAGCCTGGCTTGGCCCTGCCTACCTTGTAGCAGGCCCAGTGGGCAAGAATCCTGCTGACGCCCTGGATCTCGGAAAGGCGCAGGTACTCGCAGATCTTGATGGCCAGAGGGTAGAGCCTCCGGAGGACCAGCCTGGCACGTGAGCAGGGAGAAGTCACAGCCTCCTGGCTGACCCTGCAGCCCCCTTCGCATATCCAGCCTCCCCAGTGTCTGCCCTGCTGCCTGCTCATGCTCCTCTCCCACCAGCAAAGAGGGATATGCGGGGGCCACATCTTCAAGGGGCCCAGCCATAGGGTCAGAGGGGTCTGTGCTACTCAGAGGAGGAGGACAGCTGGCTGGACCAGCCAATGCTGCTGGGCATGCTGCAGTCCTCCCCACCAACAACTGCCCGCATCCAACAGCCACCTGGGTGCTGCTACGGGACAGGGCTGGAGGGTCCCAGCAGGAGCCACCCCTGCTGGCAGCACCGCATCACCGAGGGGAGGGGACACCACTCTCCAAACAGACCCGGGACAGCTCTGAAGAGCAGGGGGCTCTACCATGCACAGCTGAGCACCACACGCACCCTGCCAGGGACACACACCCCAGTGCCAGTAAGGTACCTGTCCAGCAGCACTTCGATGGTGAGCTGCTTGTACCTGCAGCACTAGTCAAGGAGTGACCTTGGGGCTCGGCAGGCACCACAACATCCTTCTTAGGATGCCAACCCCAGCCCTGCCCCTCTCCTGCTTGTCCCCACCCTCTCCGGGCAGTCAAGGATACTGGGCAAAGGTGAGGGGGATGCCGATCTGGTAGTCCCGGATGGCATTGAGCACCCGCAGGTCCTGGCACATGCGCACAAAGCTCTCAGGGGAGAACCGGTCAAGGAAGCACTTGCCGAAGGAGGCTGCCTGCCAGGGGGAGCAGAAGAGGCTCAGTGGATGGGGAAGCTCTGGGCAGCCTTTGCGTAGGGTCTCCCCCCACTCACCCTGAGCAGGGACTTCTGGGTCTCGGGCTCGTGCTCGTAGCCTGCAGCCTCGATGCATTGCTGTACAGCCTCCGAGAGCTGCTCCTTGTCCTTGATCTCCCGCAGGTACTCATCTGCCTTCTGGCTCTCCTTCTGCAGAGAGACAGCAGCGTTCTGAGCCACCCTGGGAACTGCACGTCGCTTTGCGGGCCCCCAGGCTGGTAGGAGGGTAAGAGGGCTGCGGGCAGGGCTAGCATTTACCCAGTGGTCTGAGCTCTGTTGCCGCCTGTGGGCACCCCAGAACTGAGCCACACGCCTGCGACCTGCGACCCTGGGGCAGTAGAGTTCACTGTTGAGGGCTATAGGCTGTACAGGAGGGACAGGATAG